AGTAGTTTACTGGAATAGATTATAAAACTTCCCCAACTTTCACGAAAAACCCATTTTCCCTGTTGGGAACAGAAAGGAGCTTTTTTTTTTTTTTTTTTTTTTTTTTTTTTTTTTTTTTTTTTTTATTAGGATTTGGGTGAAGATTTACAGAGTAAATTCACTTTTCATACAGCAGTTCACATATACTTTGTCTCATGTCATTGACCAAAATTTACAATGCAGTAGCTCCCCTCCCACTTCCTCCCCATAGTTACCTCAGAAAGGAGCTTTTCATTTGTTCATCTTGGATTTTGTAGATGGGGAGGGAAACATTTTTCTCCCATAAAAATGACCCCTAGAACCTTCTAAAGACAAACACATAAAATATAGTTTACTCAATGCAAACCAAACTCATTGCCATTGAGTTGATTGCAACTCATAGCAACCCCCACAGGGTTTCCAAGGAGGTAAATCTTTATGGAAGCAGATTGCCTCATCTTTCTTCAGTGCAGTGGCTGGTGGGTTCGAACCAGCAAGCTTTTGGTTAGGTAGCCAAATGCCTTAACCACTATATCACCTATGGTGGTTATGTTTGTATATCAACTTAGCTGGCCCTGGTTGAATGGCTGGGCAGCTGAATGTAGTTATTCCTCATGGTGAGGTTAGTAATAAACTCCATGGTGGACTCTATTGGAGCAGCTGAGTAGCTGCTTTGGGTATGTGGTCTGCTTCCGTATATAACAGCTTTGGGAATGGTCTCTATTATGGCATGCTTAGACCCTGCATGTAGCCGTGTTGTTGTTTGGCAGCCTACCATGCTCTGCCAACCTTGGGACTTTCAATGGACCTGAATTAATGGCCTGTTCTGGTAGCATAGTGCCTAAGGCACTTGACTGCTAACCAGAAGGCTGGTGGTTCAAAGCCACCAGCCACTCCCCAGAAGAAAGATGGGGCAATCTACTTCTGAAGTGATAATGCCTCGGAAACTCAAGGAGGGGTCACTATGAGTGGGGTCTGACTCAACGGCACATAACAACACAATAACGTGGTTTGGTAACATCGGAACCATGCCATTTTAATTTGTTGACCTTGGGCTTTCAGCCTCAGCAGCCAGTAGCTGCCTGAGTGAAGAAAAGCCTCTAGCTTCAGTGGGCTGGGAGCAAGAGGCAGAGTGGAACCCTAAGGTCGAGGGCTTTCACACAGCCCTTAGAACCTGGCACTCCTGTTTGTTAAGGCCATCCCATTTGTGGCAGGTATTGTTGTCGGAGCAGCACTAAGTAACCAAAACACCACCAGAGCTTCTTAAAATATAACTTACCAAAAAAAACAAACCCACTGCTGCTGAGTTGATTCTGACTCATAGTGACCCTCACTGGGTTTCTGAGTTGGTAAATCATTATGGAAGTAGATTGCCCAGTCTTGGTTCTGCAGAGTGGGTGGTATGTTTGAACCACCAACCTTCTGGTTAGCAGTCAAATACCTTAAGCACTGTGCCACCAGAGCTTTTTAAGATATAATTTAAACCACTGCAAAATGAATATTAAATATTTTTAATTCACTTTTTAAACAAGAGTCAATGATTTATTGTATGAAGTATTTAAATATGAAAAGGAAGACCAGGGAATAGAAGATGGCTTACGTGAGGCTGCAGTAATACTGTACCAACAACTACACTGTCAGCTTTTTACAGGCCAGTATTGTGTCTTAAATCCTGCAAGTTCACTCAAAACGTGGGACTGAGGATCACACCTAAAAGATTATCCCTACCTTCAGGGAGATAACAGTCTGTGGAAGAGTCGGCCAGTCAATGTAGAACCATAACAGAGCATGGAAGGATCCATGTGATCCCACGGAGGGGGGACTTCACCCAGTCCAGGGTGGGAGGAGTAGCAATGATACGTCCCCCTTAATATATGGGGGATTTGCATAGAATGATTTTTTCCTTCATTTTTAATAACTTCTCTTGCCAACTGGCCATCAGCCTTGATCTCTGGCCTCTTTGATAACCATTCATTACCAGTTCAGGATTTAGCTAACACATAGGTGGCCCCATGGAAACCTTAGTTGTTACCAAGCTGCATCATCGGGACTGCTCAGGACTAGGGCCTAGATCAGTGCTTGCTGTGCCCTCTGAGGGAAGGAAGCCACACTCAGCTGAAAGCCCCTTGTCATGTGTGTCAGCTTCTCTCTCCTCCAGATATGATTCTGCCTTCCACGATGTGAGTGGGGATGATGGCAGGCTGATCTTTGTCTCTCTTGCCCCCCACCTTTACCCAAGAATTTTGTTTAAAAAAAAAAATTGAGCACTTTAGAAAATCCATTCTGTAACCAATCTAAAATCACATTCAAATTCCTCAGCAAACTGGTGTTTATTTCTAATATTGTACCAATTACTGTCCAGGGGCCAGTATGTCACCATTAACAAGCCACCATTTCTGCCCTCAGTTGCTCACAGTCTAATGGGAACACTAAGCAAGAGGACAGGTGTTTGCAATGTTGTTGTTGTTGTTGTTATGTGCCGTCGAGTCGGCCCCGACTCATAGCGACCCCTCCTTGGGTTTCCGAGGCAGTATCACTACGGAAGTAGGATTGCCCAACCTTCCTTCCCAGGAGTGGCTGGTGGGTTTGAACCGCCAGCCATCTGGTTAGCAGGCAAGTGACTTAGCCACTATGCTACCAGAGCTCCCGGTGTTTGCAATAGTATGCAGGCTGGGCTGGGGGTCCTGGGATTCCTCTGTGCTCACTTGTTCTTTCCTGCATACGGTGTTTGCAATAGTATGCAGGAAAGAACAAGTGAGCACAGAGGAATCCCAGGACCCCCAGCCCAGCCTGGGCAGAGGGCAGTCAGTGAGTTTCCCAGCTGCTCAGTGGGGGAGAGACAAGGCAGTCTGCTTCAGTAAAGATTTACAGCCTTGGAAACCTTATGGGGCAGTTCTACTCTGTCCTACAGGGTCACTATGAGTTGGAATTGACTCTACAGCAGTGGTTTAAGATGGGGAGAGCTCACTGACTGCTGGTGTGATGTTAACCTGTGACCATTACTTTGAAAGGCAGGTCTAGAGGCCCACCGTACTCTCTTCTGTATTGAAAGGGATGGAAGGTGGGTTGTAACCCTTGGTAAGTTTGGCAGCTTAGAGGGTTTTATGTTCTGTAAACCCACCTGCATTCTAGATCAGGCCCAATGTCTCATGAGGGAGAGTGGAAAAGGTTTCCTACAACTCTTTCTGAACCAGAGCTAGCCTAACTGTGCTCACCAACAAAGTGAACCTGATGTCCTGAATCCCAGAACCACTGGGTCTTTGCCTGCAATGATGTGGGTGTTGAACCTGGATCCTCCTCTCCCTCTGTGTCTTTCCTCAGAGAGGATAAGAATCCTTAGGAGGGAGAGGATACCAAGTGTGTCTTCTTTCTGACTCCAGTCAGAAAGCTCTGTGTTGTCACCCAGATTTCCTGGTGCTAGTTTTTGCTATCTTTCTTTATTATTCTCAAAAGCCTCTTCCTTTTTAAGCTATCATTTATTATGCATTGACTGTGTGTTAAGGGCTAGGGTTCAGTCTTCACATCTCTCAAGGTATTAAGTCACCTGCCCAACGTGTTGGTAGCAGGGGTGGTGTTGAAGTCCAAGTACAGCTGACTCCTGAGGCCAGTTCCAAGCCTCTCCTGCCCTGCCCACACAGGCCTGTTGTGGGAGCTCTCCTATTACCTCCGGTTCTGAGCATCTGTGGTGGGACGAGAAGCAAGCTGCAGAGATGAGCACACTTCTCAGTGGGACAGAGGGCATGGGGCTGTTAGTTCTGAAGCTGGCCAGCAGGTGGAGACAGACTGCTTAGGCAACCTGAATTTCAGAGAGCAGCATTTTGTTTACTATTGTATCCCCACAGAGGGCTCCAGTGGGTTTGTGAATATATTATTTCTCGCTTCAGCTTATCAACATAAAAAGAGCAAAATAAATTACCAATAAAAGATAATTTCACTGTTGAATTGACAAATAGGTTCTATAAATTTTTACAATTAAAAAAGAAAAAATGGGCAATTTTGGCAAAAATTAAAAATTCATTAAGTGACAAAAGGAAATATTGGTCCCGTTCTATTCATTAAATCAGTTTATCAATATAAAAAGAACAAATTAAATAACCAGTATAAGAGAATTTCATGAAGTGGCAAAGGGAAAAACTGGTCTCTTCCCATTTGATAAAATTCTCTGTATATAACATTTAAGTTTCATAATTGATACAACTCAAATACATTTCCTGTCAGTCATCTGAATTCCCATTTCTACTACTTCTCCTTGGGTTTGTTTTTCTTCCCTTAACACAGGGACTAAACTGGGATGCGTTGTAATAGTTCTAGGTTTGCAGACTGAGCACACTGACTCACCTATCTATTACGGCACTTACATTGTGTTACAACTTTTTGTTTGCGCTTCTAAAACTCTGCCAGTTGGAAGTCTCCAAGGGGAAGGGCCTATAGTTTCACATCCCCTAGAGCAGTTGGATAGGACCTCTGGTGGCGCAAGGGATAAAGCACTTGGCTGCTAACCAAAAGGTTGACTGTTCAAACCTGCAAGCCACTCCATGGGAGAAAGATGAGGCAATCTGCTTCCATAAAGAACCCTATGGGTCAGTCCTACTCTGTCCTATAGGTTGCTATGAGTCTTAATTGACCCAATGGCAGTGAGTTTGTTTTTTGAGAGGGTTAGAGAGTTGGCTTATAAAAAAAATAAAATATTGGCTGGATGAGTAGCTGGGTAAGTGGGAGCCCTGTGAGGGCTGGCTCTGTCAGACTGCACTGCCTTTCTTTCTAGTGGGCCTGGCCAGCTTGCCGTGGATAAGCAGAGAGGCTTCTGTGCCCTTATAAAGTGTTATGTACTGATATGCAGCTTTTAAGAGTCCACTTGCTAAGAATGAGCCCATTAAACATGTTTTCTCTGTACTCCACAGTAGCCTGGAAGCTGAAGGCATTCTTCTCAGTGATGGCTAACGCCTTTCCAGTTGACTCCTTTCCCCGTTTCATTTCTACAGCGGTCCCAGTCTGCCTGCTCACTCACTGGAGAAGATGCCCTGAAGACCTCTTCCCAGGATGCAGCCTGGAGGCAGCTGTGGGACCAGGGCCAGTGGCCCAGGGAGGAGCCCACTTTGCCCAGCTGGAAGAGCATGGGCAGGCTAGACAAAACAGGTAACTGTTTTAAACAGCACCTAAAACCCACCAGCCACTCCTCAGAAGGGAGGTTGGGCACTCTCCTTCTGTAGAGATACCACATCGGAAACCCAAGGAGGGGTCACTATGAGTCGCAGTTGACTCGACGGCAGTGAGGATAGGTCTATGGTTTCACAGTGCTGTCCAGAGGCTTCCAGCTATTGCATGGCCAGTCGGCCCTTTCTCTTATACGTGTGCATTGGCATGTGCCTAGTTGGACGGAGAGCGTGTGTCCTTGTAGTCCAGGAACTTCAGTACTGTAGAAGTGAAGCTGTCTACCCCCACCCCAGCACAGGCTTGGTTCTTCCCTTACCTAGATACACATACTGTCTAATGGAAGCTGGGCATATCTGTCATTGCATGAAGAAATCATTAACACTATTGCCCATGTTATACATCAGATCTAGACCCCAACAACAACAACAAAGATTAGCAGAAAAACATCCAGGCCTAGAAATAGACTTTTAAAGACTATGCTATCATTTCTAGCCTATAAGGAAAATGATTTAACCAATAGCTAAATAAATAGAATCTATTATTGTCACAGTACAGAGAACCAACAAACATCAAGTTTTTTTTTAAAACGGTCCATCTAAAGATTTTCCAGAAAAGATCATTTCCACATTAACCTTTTAGTATCTTATCAGTAGAAACCAGAGTCCATGACATTGCAGAGATACTGTGAGCAGATGGTATTTTATTTATTTATGTATATGGTTTTGTTTTTTAAAGTACATTTTTCTTTTCTAGACATGTCTTTCTGTCCTCCTGCTATCTAGTGTATTTATATCTGTTCATTCTCTTTCCTTCTCTTTTTCTGTCTCCATGGATTGCAAATTCCTACAGAAAAGGGATTTTTAGATTCCACAGGGCATATGAGAATATCATATAATAGATCTTCAACAAGCAATAATAACTGGTTTTTAAAGTCATTTTACATATGCTTGTGCCATTTCATTTATTCCTTCAACAACATTGCTAAAACCAAACCAAACCCACTAATTGAGTCAATTCTGACTCATAGCCACCCACAGGGTTTCCAAGGCTGTAAATCTTTCCGGAAGTAGATTGCCTCATCTCTCTCCTACAGAGCAGCTGGTGGGTTTGAACCACCCACCTGGTTAGCAGCCAAATGCCTTAACCACTGTGCCACCAGAACTCCGTAACAATGTTGCTAAGCACCCCCCGCCCCCTTACCTTGTTTGGCAGATAAGAACAGGGGCAGTGAGGTTCAATGGCTTGTCCAAGATCTCATAGCTAATGTGAACAGAACTGGCCCTCAAACCCAAACATTATGGCATCATCACTCCAGTTTGCATGCTTTTTCCACCACTGTGAGAAAACAAGTATCTTCTGCTATAAAAATTAAACAAAAGAACAGTATATCAAAATTCAGACTTACAAACTAATAGATTTGGTGGATACTATACAAATTGCTAAGGGATACTCCATTTCACAGAATATTTCCCTACTGGATTGTAAGCATTCAGCATATATTTGCTAAGGATTTTGGTTTTCAAAACATTGGTTTTGTGCACAATTTTCTATAAAATTAAGCAGGCCTGTGTCATGTATCAATTGCATATAAACATAAAACTGCTTGATAGCATCACTTAAAAAGGCATCATACTCTGTTCAAAAATCCACGCATCCCTCAAAATGCAGATTAGAATAGGAAGCAAAAAGCATTTATGTAGAAAGCAACTAGTTTTCTGAGGAATGCTCAGCCCTGGGCATACTAGAGTGCCCATGCCAAACAGAGGTATAAGGGAAGTGTGGTATGTTTCCAAAAAAGACAAAACTAGTTGCTGAAAAGTCCATTCCAACTTACGGAGCAATTTGAATCTGCCTCACAGGGGGTTGTCTTGTATGTGTCTGATATGTTTAGCGGGAAGCACATTGATACCTGGGAGCATTTCTCAGTCTGAGCCTAGTAGAACATAGAACAGATGAGGCCTTGGAGGTGGAGATCATCTGAGAAGGTTAATGTCCACTGGGCTCTTTTCCACATCCAGGGCCTGAGATGCCATACTGTGTTCAGCCTTAGGGCCACCATGGATCTGGTAAACTACAGCAACTCCACTTTCAATCTGGCAGTGCTTGGAGCAGTTAATGGATTTTCCTAAAACACCTTTTCAGTTTATGGGCCTTAAGTGAGTGGCAACTCTGTGCAGCTGGTGAAATAAAGATCAATTCAGACCCAGTCCCTGCTCTTGAGTTGCTCACCAAGAGCCATCCACACTCAAGGGTGGAAATGGTCCCCTCCCACCTCTGGGCCTCAGTACTCTAAGATGGCCCTGCATGTTCTCTGGTTAAAGCATTTAAAAAATGAAACAAAATAACAGCTTTTGCTGGTAATTGCTGTGCCTGAGGCCACAGGGCTGGGCCAAGTATCCACAGCTAAAGGAGACACCATGATATCTGACAAAACATTTTCTTGTTTGCATTCAGCAAAAACTAGGCAAAGCACCTGTTACACCCATAGGCAGATCAGCCCTTTGGACCCAGCCACAGTCATTGCAGATGCCCTAGACCTGCACTCAGTTCAGCCCAATTTGAGACCACGACCAAAGACAGAACTGCTCCCACTCACCCTGGTGCCATGCTGCACAGCTGGCCACAGACAATAGTCAAGAGCTGCTTTGAAGTCAGAGAGAGGATATGTCCCACCCCAACTCTATCGGTTACAGGCTCTGTGACCTTTGACAAGTTACTAATTTCACTCATCTTAGTTCCCTCATCTATAAAATGAGATTGGAAATGCAAACCTATTTCTGCTCACAGCCTTTCTAAGAGGAGGAGTATGCCTTCAGTTAATTAAAAACTTTACATGCCCATTTCACAAGGTTGTTGTGAGATCTGTATAAGGCTGAGGTCAGGATTTGTTTAACGTTCTTACAGACAGCAGCCTTATGAGGTAGGCCAGGGCATGTGGTGAAATCATTTCTCATCCAGAGAAGGGCAACTGGGAACCCAAGAGACAAAAACCCAAGAGACAAAGCATTAGAACCTAGGCCTGCCGACTCCAGGCCTCTCTTCTCGCCTTCTCCATCCAAGCCAACCTAGGATAGGAGTAGGGTGGTTTCAAGGAGACCGAAGTGGCTGTCTGCCCAGATGGACATGAAGTAGGAACTGGGTGTCCAAGTCTCTCTCCATCTGTGAGCTCTGGAGCCCTAAGAGGCCTTAAGGAACGTCTTGGGATCCTTAAAACCCTGACCTCCAGTTAGGTATCTCCTCCTGGTCTTCCTATTGGCATCTCACCCCAACACCTCACAAACCAGCAATAGGGAAGGCAGCAAGTGGAAAGCCCACCTTGCTCTAGGTGATAACAAACTGCTATCTGGTTTCTCTTACCACAGACCTGGCCCCAGTTTTGCAAAGCCCTGATGGGAACTGGATGGCCCTGAAGGATGGCAATCTGCCCCCAACTCGCCTGCTGGCCAAACCTAAGAGCGGAACGTTTGAGGCCCTGGAGGCTGCATCCAGCGTGGTGTCTGCTTATGAAGAGATGGGCTCTGACAGCGAGGAGGACTTTGATTGGAGCGAGGCCTTGAGTAAACTGTGCCCGGGACCCCAGGGCCTACTTGGGAACCCCCAGCATCAGCCCACACAGGCCCAAGGACCCAACCAAGGCCCCTCAGTTGCCTCCCCCTCCTTAGCACTCTCTCCTAACCCTGAGGCCATGTGCTCAGACTCGGAGACTTCCTCAGCAAGCTCTTCCCGGGAAGCTGGGCGCCAGGCCAGACTATCCTGGCTGCCAAGGAAGCCCCCTAGGAACCCTGCAGCAGAGAAGACAAGCCTACAGGGAGAGCTGGATGTGAACTTTAACCCCCAGGCAGCCAGCGGAGAGACCTCAGATAGCAGCGAGCCTGAGGAGGCCCCCCGCAACACAGACCGGCAGGCCCGGAGGTGGAGAAGGGCCCGCATGGGCTCAGAAGAGCCAACCAACAAACTATCTTCCCCCAGTGCCTGTCCTCAGGATCTGGATTCACATCAGGTAATAGAATTTTGTGCATGCAAGCCTGTACACAGACACACACACTTTTTTAGTAGTATGTACCTTCCTCCAAGCACAAGTGGCATAGAGTCCCAGATTTGGAAGCCACAGAGCCAAATTCTAATCTCAGTTTTGCTGCTAAGTAGCTGAGTAACCTACACAGATTACATCAATTCTTTGGAGCTCCACATTCTCCTCTCTGGAGAATAGCTTAGATAGAATTCAAAGTGTCATTTACCAAGTGTGACCAGCAGCATAAGCACCACCTAGAAATTGCCCCACCCAAGACTTGCTGAATTAGGAACTCTTGGGCTGAGGCCCAGCCATCTGTGTTTTAACCTGCCTTCCTGGTGATTCTGCTGAGCACCAACGTTTAAAAGCCACTGACTTAAGGTTAAAGGTGTGAGGTCCAGAGTCAGCCTGCCTGGGTTCAAGTCCAACTGTGTGACCTTGGGCTAGGCATCTTTTGAGGTGTCCATTTCCTTGTCTTTATTTCCTGCAAAATGGAGATAATATTAGAATTCACCTCAAAAAAATGGTTGTGACAATTGAATGAGATAATGTTTATAATGAGCTAAGCTCTATCCTAGACACAGCCTGAGGGCTCAGTAAATGTTTTTTTAATATGATCATTCAGGTGCAGTATATTGACATAGTGGTTCTGCCCACCTGAGATCAGGAACCCTCTTTGAGAACATGATTAAAGTTATGGACTCTCTCCCTAAAATAATGTACCTGTAAATACATACTCACATTTGCTTAGTCTCATGTCAAAAGAGACACATATTTTCTGGGACATTTAAATGATATCATGGAAACAGTGGATTGCAATATTTTAAACTGAGAGTCATAAGGAAAATCTAGTTATGTTGCTGTTGCCATTGCCTTCTTTAGGCACATAATCATTTATTGAATTTCCATCAACTTTGCCATTTTAAGTTTGAGTGTCATTGCATCTTCCATAGTACCCAATTTGGGTTCTGCCAAAAGCAGACCTTGAGTTAAGGATTTGGATGCAGGTAGTTTATGTGGAAAGGAGCTCTGGTGGTGTAGATGCCTCAGGCATTTGACTGCTAACCAGAAGGCTGGTGGTTCAAACCATCACTCCATGGAAGGAAGAGGGGACAATCTACTAACGTAAAGGTTTACTGGCTTGGAAACCCAAAGGGGGTCATTATGAATCGGAATCGACTCGATGGCAGTGAGTTTGGTTTTGAGTTTTGTTTCAGTTCGTGTGGAAGAAGCCCTGGTAGTGTAGTGGGTAAGTGCTCAGCCGCTAACTGAAAGGTCAGTGATTCAAACCCACACCAGCAGCTCTGTGGGAGATAAGACTTGGCAATCTGCTCCTGTAAAGATTATAGTCTAGGGAGCCCTATGGAGCAGTTCTACTCTCATATAGTGTTCTGGTTACCTAGTGCCACTCTGACAGGAATATACCACAAATGGGATGGCCATAACAAACAGGAGTTTATTCTCTCACAGTTTGGAGGCTTTAAATCCAAGTTCAAAGTGCTAGGCTCTAGGGGCTGAGTGAAAGCCCCTCGACCTTGGGCTTCAGCTCTGCCTCCAGCTCCTGGCCCACTGAAGCTGGAGGCGTTTCTTCACTCAGACAGCTGCTGGTTGCTGAGGCTGAGAAGCCCAAGGTTGACAAGTTAAAAAGCCATAGTCCAGATATTACCAAATCACATGGCAGGCCATTAATTCAAGTCCATTGTTAAGTCCCAAGGTTGGCAGAGCATGGCAGGCTGCTGAACAATGACACAGCTACATACAGGGTTCAAGGTGCCATAAGCTAGAGAACATTCCTGAAGCTGCTGCTTATATACGGGAAGCAGACAACATCCCCAGAGCAGCTACTCAGCTCCTTGTGGTAGATCCCACCATGGAGTTGATTGCCAGTTTCATCATGAGGATTAACTACTACCAGCTGCCCAGCCACTCAACCAGGCCAAGCCACACACCAACATAAGCACCACATATAGGGTCTTTATGAATTGCAATTGATTTGACAGCATACAGTAGTTTATGGGGGGGAGGTGAGAGGGCAGTGGTGGTTGAGTGGTAGAATTCCTGCTTTCTATGCAGGATGTCTGGGTTCAGTTCTCAGCCAGTGCACGTCAATCACAGCCACCACTCATCCGTCAGTGAAGGCTTGCCTGTTGCTACGATGCTGAACAGGTTTCAGTGGAGCTTCTAGACTAAGGCAGACTAGAAAGAAAGGTCTAGCAATCTACTTCTGAAAAATCAGCCAATGCAAACCCCATGGGTCACAACAGTCCAGTCTTATCACGTGTAGGTTCATTGTGAGTTGTGGCCAACTCAACAGCAGCTGACAGCTGTTTACATGGGCGGCGATCCCAGGAAGTTGGCTGATACAAAGAGGCAAGAAAGGCTGATTGAGATTTGCTACATGCAACTGGGTCTCAATCCCACTGAGGACCCTTAGTATTCTCCTGCAGAGCACAAGGAGCCTAGAGCATGTATCCACAGACACCATCTCCCATTTATGGAAGGTTTGCTCCCATCCAGAATGAGCATTAACTCCATACCCAGCCGGGTTTGCATGGATGGAGCCTGAGAAATCCCTCAGATGGAGAAGAAGAAAGAGACCCAGGTTTGAGGTGGGAAGGTACCAGTGAGCCAGAGGCTGCACTGTTGCAGGGGAACCAGGTAGGTCCAGGGCATACAACCTGGGACATCATCAGTATCTACTACAATAACCTTCTCTGAGTGTATCAGCCAAATCCCTGATCTGGGCACCCATTGAATAGCTGTGGACTCAGAGCTTCTTAGGACATGGAATTCGGCATCATTCCAGCCTGACCTGCTAATGTATTGCCTAGAATAAGTCCTTTATTTGGTCTAAACACTCATTTTTCTCATCTGTAAAACCTAGGTTATTTAAAAATCTACCTGTGATAGAGTTGCCATCATGGAGTAAAAATATAAAGTTCTGTTCAATTGTGAATCACTATTATCTAGCTCAAATGGAGACCATGGTCCAGTTTCTCTAGGTGGCTTGCCTCAAGGAATATTCTACAGGGCTGTCAGCATGATTCCCTTGTAGGTACAGAATGTCGTGTCTCCACCATGACTGGGTTCCTGAAGTTTCCTATTTGTGCTGAAGTGGCTTGAAAGTTGTTTTCTGTTTTTACTCTTGGTGAGGCATTGGTAGGGAGGAGGCATGAGCCAACAGAAAGGCAATGGACTCAGCATTGCCTCTGCCTCCCTGAGAGTGGCTCTGAGCAAGTGGCAGTGTCCTCTCCTCCCCATTAGAGGGAGGTAGTGTTGCACTTCAGAGACATCAAACCCAGATGTCTCTTATGTAATTTACTAAAGTAGCTAGTTCTAAATAGCCTTGGTGACATGGTGGTTGAAGCACTCAGTTTCTGGCCAAAAGGTCAATAGTTTGAACCCCTCAGCTGTGCTGTGGGAGAAAGATGTGACAGTCTGCTTCCATAAAGACTAACAGCCTTGGAAACCCTCTGTCATACAGGGTCACTATTAATTGGAATCAACTTGACAGTTGTTTTTTAAAGGAGTTGTTTTTAAAAATAAGTAAGTGAAAAGCAGTTTAATTAGTTCTTGATTATATAAATTAATGTTGTTGTTGTTGTTGTTATTTGCCGTCAAGTCGGCCCCGACTCATAGCGACCCCTCCTTGGGTTTCCGAGGCAGTATCACTACGGAAGTAGGATTGCCCAACCTTCCTTCCAAGGAGTGGCTGGTGGGTTTGAACCGCCAGCCTTCTGGTTAGCAGTCAAGTGCCTTAGGCACTATGCTACCAGAGCTCCCATATAAATTAATATATTGTAAAAAAAAAAAAAAAAATTTATAAAACTTACAGTACAGTCCACCTTGATCTAATGCTTTGTCCCTTTCATCTCCACCAAAATGATGAGTTGTATTTGGCGTGAATCCATCCAGAGCTTTGCACATTCATATATGTATAGTATATTTAGATGCTATAAATTACATTTTAGTTCTATAAATGTTTTGCCATATTGTCAACCCTCTAGGTTTTTGCCAGTTTTATCTGAGGAAACGTAAATTTTTTATTGTCCTTGTTAATGTTTTTATATTCCTACTGAGGCTAAGGAGCCCGGGTAGCATGGTGGTTAAGCGCTCTGCTGCTAACAAAAAGGTCAGAGGTTCAAACCTATCAGCTACTCCACAGAAGTCACCATGAGTAGGAATCAATTAGATGACAACAGGTTTGGTTTTGGGGGATTTTTTAATTTTGTTTTGTTTATTGAGGCTAAGTGTTATTTTCTGTGCTTAAGGATATTTGCATATTTTTTTCTTTGAAAGGTACATTCTTTGAAAGGTATATCTTTCGTCGATTATTTTATAGGACTACATGTTTGATTTTTTCCTCACTGGTTTTCAGAAATAAGCATAATTTTTAACTATATTACTGATTTTAATTATTTGGTGATTATTGTTAGGTGCCTTCTGGTCAGTTCTGGCTCAGTAGCGACCTTATGTACAAGAGCACTACTCAGTTCTGCACCATCCTCACAGTTCTTGCTATGCTTAACCCCATCGTTACAACCACTGTGCCGATCTATCTCATTTATAGTCTTCCTCTTTTTCACTCACCTTCTACTTAACCAAGCACAATGCCCTTCTCCAGGGTCCAGTACTCTCCTGACAGCATGACAAAAGTACGAAAGGCAAAGTCTCACCATCCTTGCTTCTCAGGAACATTCTGGCTGTACTTTATCCAAGACAGGTTTGCTTGTTAGCTCTGACAGTCCACGGTGCATTCAGGATTCTTTGTCAACACCATTATTCAAATGCATTAATTCCTCTTCAGTCTTCCTTACTCATTGTCCAGCTTTTGCATGGATATGAGGCAATTAAAAATACCATTGCTTGGGTCAGGTGCACCTTAGTCTTCAAAGTGACATCTTTGCTCTTCAAAGCGATATCTTTGGTAGTTAAACATTGAAAATATTCTCTGTCCCCTGGACTTTATTTAAGTAAATAATATTTAC